CTCTTTAGTCACCTGAAAACTCACTAATCTAGGACATCCCTATGCTCATATCATTGTACTCTTAGCTGGATGATCTCCTGTGTCATAAATTCGAGTGACAGCAAATGCTAGTAGTAGTAATGGTGTGGGTGTGTGTGTGTGTGCGTTTTGTAAATCGGCCGGTTCTTATCATGTCTGGCGACTGACCATATTACGAGGGTCCTCAATCCTCGTCACCATACCCTCTGCCTCTTGACTTTAACATTAACAGCCTTGCTTGGAATTATGGCTCTTATAAATATCTTGGAATTTGCATGAATGATGCAAACTGTCAGCAACCTTCATTGCCAAACTAATGCAGCGCATTAAAGCCCTCCAGAACCGCTTGGTGCTGCAGGGCTGTGGAATTAATATCACCTATGTAAATAACTTCTATATTTCACTTCTATTCGTTCTCCTTAATTTGACTATCATACTCTCCCATCTTGTGACTACTATTTCTAAACAACTCCTTGTATTATAAGGAAAATAAACCATCGCGTATCATTCTAGGTTACTGAAAATCAGCAATTGCTTAAATATGAGGAAAGAGCTCATTTGCCACTCCCTATCTGAGAGGATAGCTCTACTTATGTATACCATGTTTGTGTCCAAAGATTTTGAAATGTTTCAAGCTGATCTAGTGTTCTCTGAAACAATGTCTAATCACCCCAGACGAACCAGTAATGCCATTCACTCATGGCTGCCTGCACTAGAAACTATATACACACAGATGAGAGTATTAGAAATCAAGTGAATGTTATGCTTTTACTGATGGTTCTATTGCAGACAAACACAGGTAGGAACAGGCTATTGTATGACAAGCAAGGCTGAACAACTGGGCAACACAACACAAATGAACTATTGGAATCTACAAACTGAACTAACTGGAATCTCTTTGGCTACAGACTACCTTAAAAAGAAAATGGAGGTGGGGTGATATTCTCTTGACTCAAGTGCTTTTGAAATCAATGGGCCGTCCGGTTCTATGTCCTAAAGTTGTATGTGATATAAAAAAATGTGATAACACTTATGAGAACAACTCTCGTATCAATTTGTGTGGATTCGTCCCATGTTGAGATTAGGTATCATATGCTGATAAAATGAGGCCAATGAGGCGCTAGAAGAAAATTTTTGACTTTGGCCTTGGCCTGTGTGCTGTACTTAAAACATTCAAGTCAGAATCATGAACTCTGATCTAGAAGAACTGAAAATGCAGAGAGAGACTTGGCAGTTACCAACATTAATAAATATGACAAATTTTGTGACGAGGTACCGGATAAACCTTTAAAGCATGCACTTAAACACTGTATTATTGAATGTGACACTGTCAAAGACTTCAAGCCACCTGGCTTATTGTATCATGGACTTTGTAATTACTACATTGAGGACATTCTTGCTGTTTATCCCAAATTTGCTAGCCCACACTGATTAGTCTTCAATTAGAATATGACGTCCAATGTATATGAACCTCTGTCCTGCATGGCAGTGAACAGTAACATCACCCACATGACTCTGGCCTATATATACTGCTTATGAATATGATGTATTTCTTTGTGTACGAACCTCTGTCCTGCATGGCAGTGAACAGTGACATCACCCACATGACTCTGGCCTATATATACTGCTTATGAATATGATGTATTTCTTTGTGTATGAACCTCTGTTCTACGTTTCAGTGAGAAGTGATACCACCCTCAGTGTCAAGACCTGACTGAATTACTCAGAATAGGCAAACTGTACTCCAAACTTTGTCAATAAATTTGTTAAACTAAAAAAAATTATGCAAGAAACTGTCACATGAGAAAGAGAGAGAGGTGGTGATGACCTGGGGGCGTCTTACTTCAGAAGGTCTTGGGATGTCCATTGTGATCGCCTCCATGATGGTATTCCCTTCCGTCTATGCCGCCTACCAAGTCCCTGTGTCGTCTTCATCATCATTATCATCATCATCATCATTATGTTATTATTATTATGTGAAGTGTGCAAACTCGTGAACCCGAAGTAGTAGACCTACAGGTCGTAGGTAGTAGGCAGCTACCAAGCACGGAGGAACTACCGCCTGGGAAGATATTGTAAGCCTCATGTGTTGTCTAATGGTAGACCCTGCTGCCACATGGCATCACGAAAATTGTCACCAGTTGCTGATCTGACTTTCTGCCTCATTTACATACAATTGCAGGGTCTCAATTGTTTCACTTACTTGGACAACACAACATATATAATGTATATATTTTCTCACTCTTGATTTATTTTTTCAATTTTGTATTTATTTATGGTTATTATTTTTAATATTTCTATTATTTTATTTGTATTAATTTCTATTAATTTTATTTATTGTTGTAATAATAATAATAATAATAATAATAATAATAATAATAATAATAATAATAATAATAATAAGAATCATAATAGATATTATTGTTATTATTATTATAATTATTATTTATTATTATATTTTCGCCCCCCAGGCCCTGATGTGGGTCATTACCTGTGCCCGGGTGGGCTAATGCCCGTAAAAAAAAAATGCTTCTGATTCATGAGTTTGGATCTCGGGGTTCGCAGTTCAGGAGGCGAGGCAACAGGACTTCTGACCGAGAGACTGATATTGAATTGATATTGACACAGTTTATTTAGCAAGAAAAATACAGATACAGAGTGGATAATAATAGTGACATGGATGAGTCAATTGAGAGCCTGAGTTTTATTAGTGGCACCTGATATAATATACTGGACATTTATCTGAAGGAATGATTTTATAACATTTAGTATCATTTGTATTCGTAGCAGACTTAATATGGTGTGATTAAATACGTATGCGAATGGTATCACGATTATTACTGTAGGTGTCATTAGTACTTAGAGAAAACATTTTAAGTTCCTTCGTCACGTTATAACAAGGTTTTCATGAAGCCGTCAACAGTGTCGCCCTTGGCCAGGTAAAACACAGCCTCCATGTCCATATGCCTGACGGTGCCATATTTCTTAGTATTCTCCCCGCACTTTTTCATGTGGGCGTCAAAAATACCGTAGGTAAAGAGGCCATCCTTATGTGCCTTCCAGGCAAGCTCGTATAAAATGACTTTACTCAGGCCTTGACCACGGTACTCTGGCAAGACGAAACCGTTGCCCAACATCCCGTTGTTGTACAGATGGCTCCAACCCACCAGCTGGTCCTTGGAGGTGGGGTCACCATCTCCCCTTTTGCGAATAGCCACCGACGGGACGCTCCGGAGTAAAGTCTCGAGGCCGCTACAAGTTTCAGTCCACTGATACATCCAGAAGGGCATCACCAAGGCCACCTCCTCAGGCCTGAGACTGTCCAGGTAGAATCCTTCAGGAGGGCTGCACGTGCATAGAAAAAGGGGAAATAAATATTTTTTGAAAGGAAGCAACAAGAATACTGTACAATAAAACGAACGATAAATACATTAGTAATGGAAAACAATATATTTATATATAATATATAAGTTTTGATGTAAATTCACTTTTCAATAGAGTACCAGTGAAAGGCCTACTTTCATTTCTTAAAGATAAATTACAACCGTTAGATATGACTATTGAACATGATACTTTTCTCAAATTGATAGAGTTATGCGTTAATGACTGTAATCGCTCACTAGAGCGATTTTGGTTTGTGCAGGACAATAAGACCCTTGTCGTTGACGCGATGAGTATAATTCGGTCAAAACCTGTTGAATACAATTCACATATAACAACTGCTGGTACATTAGGACACAGTTTGAATGATACGATCAATAAACAGTAAATAATTACACTTATTAAAGTCATTTAGAGTTCTCAGAGGATTCAACAGTTCACAATCACACACACGTTTTGGGGTCTAGGGTTAGACCAACGAGAGCAAATCTAATGTCCTGCAGGAAGATGTTGGCTGACGAGAATCAAGATGTACAGTAGAAGGCGATAGTCTGTCCCTCAGGCTGTCACATAGCTGCTACCAGCTTCATCTCGCTATTCTGAGGTGTAAACAGTTTCTTCACTTAACATGTGGCCGGTGCCCACAATTTGTGCGTGGCAATATCCCGGGCCGGGAATGGGACAACTGGCCGCCGCCATCTGGCCGCCGCGGACTGGGGGTAAACTGCAAACGCCTAATTTTGCGCTCTCAAGGCAGGTTAGGTTAGGTTAGGTTAGGTACTTCATGGGCTGCGGCCAGTTG